AAAAAGTAAGAAAAAATAAATCAACTAAAATTATTTATTAGAAAGAAAAAGTCAAAACAAAAGTAGATAGTTCTCCTATTTCTCCTGATTCTTTTGATTCTTCTCTTTACACTTCATCTGAGTCTAAATCTGTATAATCTAACTTACTACTTTAGTGTTCTAAGATCTTAGAACATTCAGAACACTACCTAGCCCTGTTTACTACTTAGTAGTTTGTCTATAGTATCAAGCAGGGATAGTCTCAACTGAGTTTACAGCTGAGAACATAAGTCTGTCCTTGTTAAAAGAGAGAGGTTAATAAGGAAATGTTAGTACATATACTTACTCTCTTAGACAATAAGACTGTATAAGCTGTACATTCCTTTTAGAACAAGTAGTAGTTCATCTGAGAATGTTCTAAGTATTAGCTCCAGGTTCTTATCCTCTTGACTCCCTTCTCAGGATCCCCTCAGATCCAAACAATGGCTCTGGTAGACAGTAGATACACTAGTTTGTGTATTAATAAGGCTTTCATACAGGAACACTACCTCCCTACTTAATGTGTTCCACTTCTAATCCTAGTATATAATATAGACAGAACTCTGAACCAGAATAGTCAGATTACTAAGTTTGTCCAACTACAGATGACTATTTAGGATTATGAGGAAAGTATTAAGTTTAGAGTTACTAACCTTAGAAAGACAAATGTCTTCATTAGATTCAAATGGCTTAAGACTTACAACCCTACTATTAACTAGTCAGAGTAGACACTTACATTCAATTAGTGTTCTAAGTCTTACAACTATCTTGTACTACTGTTCTAAGTAGATATAGACACTTCTAATATTACTAACAGTTCTGATAAAGGTGACTAGTTGTTCTTCTTTGACTAGGATAGATATATGGATACATATTCTAGTCAAGGCAGAACAGAGTCAATCTGAAGGATGTCTAAGATAGAACCAGTCTAGAACCCTCTTAGAACAACTCTACTCTAGAACACACATAGACTCAGCCTGCCAGATTTTGTCTGAGAGTTCTCTAAAGTCTTTAGTAAAGAGGAATTTGACTAGCTTCCTAAATACTATTCTTAAGACTATATAATTAAATTAACTGAGGGCTTCCAACTCAAGGATTGTAAGGTCTACCTACTCAACAGAGACAAGTAGGAGATGCTCAACAAGTTCCTTCAGGAAAATCTTCAGAACAGTCAGATCTAACCCTTAAAGTCCTCTATAGTCTCCCCTTTCTTCTTTGTCAAAAAGAAAGATAGAAAGCTCTACCTAGTTTAGAATTATTATTGTCTTAATAAGGATACTGTTAAAAACAAGTACCTGCTCCCCCTGATTCAGGAGCTTATTAATAAGACACATACATCCAGGGTTTTCACTAAGTTAGACATTTGATAAGGATACAATAATATTTGGATCTAAGACAGAAATGAGTAGAAGGCTACATTCTGAACTAATTGTAGATTGTACAAACTGACTGTAATGTTTTTCAAACTAACTAACTTGCTTACAACATTCTAGTCATTCATAAATCACATTCTTACAGATCTGATTGACTCAGAGTATGTTAGTGTGTATCTGGATAATATTCTGATCTTTACTCAGACAGTCAAGCACTATTACTAACTAATCTAAGCAGTTCTACAACAGCTCTAAGATAATAAACTGTTTCTCTAAGAAGTAAAGTACTCTTTTACACAGGAGTCAGTAGATTATCTAGGCTTTGTGATTGGTGGAGGAGAGGTCTGTATGGATCTGGTGAAGGTAACTGTAGTTTGGAACTGGCTACAACCTTAGAACCTGAAACAGGTCCAAGTATTCCTTAGGTTTACAAACTACTACTAACACTTTATTTAAGGCTTTAGTACTATTGTCTGGCCCCTTCACAATCTTACTAGCAAAGATGTTCCTTAGTAATAGGAGGATCAGTAGTAGTCTGTGTTTGAGTCCCTAAAGTAGACTATTACTAGCAAGCCTGTATTAACAGTTCTGACAGTTGTAGACAAGTTCTGAGTTAAAGCTGACTCTTCCAACTTTGCAAATAGAGTAGTACTGTCCTAGTTCATTAATAGAAAGTAGTGTCTGATAGTGTTCTGATCAGAATCCCTCTCTATAATAGAACAGAACTATCCTATCTATGACAAGGAACTCCTTACAATTGTCTGTTCCCTAGAGGAGTAGTGTTAATATCTCCTTAGTACTATACAGAAGTTTGAGATTTAGAGTAATCACCTTAATCTCTAATACTTCTAGACACCTCAGAAGCTCAACTGCTACCAAGCCTACTAGATGTTAGAACTGTAGGACTATAACTTTGTACTGACTCACAAACTTAGAACACAAATGACAAAAGCTGATTTACTCTTAAGACAAGTAAGTTATAAAAGGGGGGAGAATGATAACAAAAATCTTGTTCTCCTAGACAATTCCTATTTTGTGTTCAAGACAATTCAAGAGATCCAACTTGAATCTAAGAATGTTGACTTTATCACTTGTATATAGTAAGCTCTAAGACACACACAGGACCAGGTTATAGTAAAGTAACTAGAGAAGTAGGCTAGAGATTAGGAGGAGGATAAGGATAGACAAGTTTACTAGGAAGGCCAACTGTACATTCTGAAGGATTGGAAGCTACAGGAGGACATTGTCTGAGCTTATTACAATAATCTGACTGTAGAACATTTAGGCTGACACAAAACACAGGAACTCATTACTTAGAACTACTAGTAGTCAGGAATGTAGAGAGAAATCCTAAAGTATGTAACTAGTTGTAATACATACTAACAGACTAAGACTCACCAGACAAGGGTTCAGGCTCTCCTACATTTGTATCAGATCCTAGATTACTCTTAGGAAGAAGTCTTAGTAGACCTGATTAGTAAGCTACCTAAGTCTTAGAGTTACAACACTATCTGTGTGATTGTTAACTAATTCTCTAAGTAAGTCTACACAGTTCCAACCTAAACAGAACTCACTTCTAAAGACATAGTATACATTTATTAGAATCATGTCTTCTAGTTGTACAGACTCCCTCAGAAGCTCATTCATGATTACAGACTGTAATTTAAGTTGAAATTCATGTAGAACTTGTATACACTTCTCAGAATTCAAGGGAACCCTTCTACTGTCTATCACCTGTAGACTGACAGTCAAACTGAGTGAGTCAATCAGGAGATCAAGCTCTACCTCTAAATGTTCATTAATTATTAGTAATTGGATTAGTCTGAATAGTTAGCTCTGACAGAATTTGTGTATAATAACTAACAACACTCTACAACAGGACAGTCCCTGTTCTTCCTCAATCATAGGAGACATCTGTACTAGGGGACAGTTCCAAACTGGAATAGTAGTTCTGAATCTATAACAGACTTTGTAGAACAGATACACAGAACCAGGGAGGACATACAAGCTCTTTTGGAAAAGGTAACACAGGTTATAAAGTAGAACTATAATTAGAAGAGGTCTGTAGTCAAGGATTACTAGCCTGGTAACAAAGTTATACTAGAAGCTACTAACCTGACTACAGATTGTCTAATGAAGAAGTTGGACAACAAGTACTTCAGACCCTTTGTTATTAAAAAGAAGGTTAGTACCTCTGTTTACAAACTCTAACTTCTAGTAACATAAAAGTACATACACTCAGTGTTTAATAAGGTTCTACTGTCTTAGTACTATGATCTAGGTTTTCCTTTACAACAAAGACCCTTACTACCTCTACCAGAACTCATTAGTTCTGAACCAGAATACAAAGTAGAGTATATAGTAGATACTAAGCTAGTGTACAGAAAGCTCAAGTTCCTTATCTACTAGAAGGGATACTTAGTTGAAGAACACACTTAGGAACCTACTGAGAATCTCACTCATACTACTAAGACAATCTAAGACTTCTATTAACTTCATCCAGGTGCTCTGTATCAACTCTACCTTACAGATTTCCAAACCCTACTATTCTAATCTATACTTAAGCTACTAACTAAGCTCAATGTTCACTAATCAGGACAATTGGTTTTAGAGGGGGGGTAATATTATAGTTCTCTACTCTTATACCTTTAGTTCTAAGGGTTCTACACCCTTCTATACTAGAACTCAGGACTTCTGTCCCTTAGGAGTACTGTTTATAAACTATATGTGTACTGACTCTTACTACTACCCTTCCTTACTTTATCATTCTATTCCTTTGACTACCCCTTTATTCTTTGTTCATTCTATAGTCTCTTACCCTTTGTCTATCCCTTCATTCTTTGTACCTTTATCTTTAACATTCCTTTCTTTCATTCTTTGTAACTTATCATTCTTAAGTAGCTCATACTCCCTGAGTACTCTTGTATAGTTTAGTATATATAGGCATACAAGATTAGACTAGTTCTGTAGTCTTGATCTTGTCTACTCTAGGTAGTCCTGTACTCTTAGGCTTACTCTATATACTCTACTCTTGTCTCACTCTCTCTCTCTGCCTGTTCTGCAAGTTCTGACTACATTCTAGTACTTGTGTTCTGTATTTCTGTTGTGTAGGATAGTTGTAGCCTGGGTCCCCTTACTGAGCCTTCAGGTCCCCTCTATACTGTTACTAACAGTACTCTAGTACCTAAACCTAAAGGAGAGGGTGTCTCTATTATAGTGTTTAATTTCTGTACACTAGAAACAGGTTAGTTAAAATCATTAGATAGGTAAGTCTAAATCTTATATAATACACTTATTATATTACTTAATCTACTCTTAACAGGTCTTAAGAAGTGTATGTATATTTTAAGGTAGGAAAGAATAAGGATGAGTACTTTCAACACAGTAATCTTATTCAACAAGTAGACAAGACAATTTATGTCTTTAAAGAGCTATTCTCTAGGGCAACTACACTTTTTACATTTGATAATGTTACAACACACTCAAAACAGTACTCAAATACTTTATCTGTATACTATATACTTAGAAATACTTGTTATTAGGTTAGTAAGGAAGCTCTACCTCTACCTAGTATAAGACTAGAACTCCTTCTAGATAGGACTTTATAGCTATTATACTACCTAGATAGCTAGTTTAAAAGTATAGCTTGAATACTTTAAGAACATAGTTATAATGTTAGTAGATTGAAGACTGAATGTAAAGGATTCAAGTGTGTAAACACAAGCTTAGATTCTTTTTACTGTTACAGAAGGATCTTGTTTAATCAGTCTAATTTCCAGGGCTAGAAATCAGCTCTTAAAGAATTTATTAAAGTATACAATTACTTAGCCATTTTTTATTTAAAGTTCTACTGTAAACTCAATTTTATTAAACAATGCTAGGGAAAAGTAAAGTACTATTTCAGAATAATACTTAGACCTACTAGAGAATCAGAACTACAGGAACACATTAGGATTTGTCTTGATTCTGTTCTACTAGAGCAGTTTCAGCTGTAAGTCTTTACTTTTCTTAATAATATACTTTCTGATTATGTAATGCCTAGATTTGCACAATACTCAGCTTAGTTTATAGATTACTATTAGAAAGGATTGAATAGGAGACAAGCCTAATAGGTAAACAAACAGTACTATAGTTACAGAACTATACTTGAGAGAGTTATAAAAGAGCTAGATTATTATAGTATATAATTACTTGTATAAGTATACTAATATCTGTATCTAAGTTGTTCAGAAGCAGACTAGAATATACTCAACACTAGTACAAATGTTACACATTATAACATGTAGTCATTTAGGATGACTATTGTTAAAGTATTAAGTAAGCAAGTGTTATTTACAGATACTATAGAAAGGTTTAATACAAGTTATTACACAATAGTAGTTATACTTATACATAATTAAAATGTGCTCTAGTAACTAATACTAGATAGGGTTAATGTCCTAGATTGGTTGTGACAGACTATTACACAATAATATGTATGATTAGTAAAGAATAAGAGTTATGAGTATTAAAGAAATTTACTCAAAAAAATATTATTACTCTATTATATTTATGTTAATCTTAAAAATTTGACTGTCAGAGTCCTTCCTAATACATTAAGCAAGGGGTTCAGGGTCCATGACTGTGACGTGACATAGCTTGTCAAGTTTAACTTTTGTGTATCTTAGTACTACCTTCTCTTATATCTGTCTTAGAGATACTGTTTTAATTAATAAGTGTTAAAGATTCTTATTACTATATGTTTTTATTAACAAGTTAAAGCCTTCTTTAAGCTAGTTACTATGTGTTCCCTATTACTAGCTACCTTAACTTGTGCCTGTCCTAGTACTGTACTAGCTAGTCAAAGCTTAGAGATACATTCTAACAGTTCTATTAAAGGTTTTTATATGTTTTTATTAACAAGTTAAAACTTTCTAAATTTGTAACTGTGTGTTCCTTATTGTCTGTCCTTACTCTTTTGTATTTCCCCTCCCCCTCTTTACTATAATCTTCCATTTTACCTCCCCCCTTTACTATATCCTTTCCTTTACCTCTCTATTAATTACTTTCTTACTCCTCCTTTTATTTCTTTAGAGTAGGAAAGAATGTAACTTTTAAGATTATATATATAACTTTAGTTAAGTATAAAAAGAGCTATTTGTAGACACTTAGAGATTATCTTTGTACTTGCTCCTGTACTTAGGTCAACCTCTTATTAATCCTAGGTCTTTACCTGTTCTATGTTCTTAAGTAAGACTCTAGCCTTTATACTTTTTTTAAAATTACTCTAATTTGATTTGTTATATACTTGTTATACTTACTATAATGTGTATCTCTCTATTGTTAAAGTGTTTGTCAAGACAGTCTATTCCTTACTATACTATCTATTACTCTGTTACTGTCTACTATTTACTATTATTGTTTACTATTTACTAAGAGTATAAATTCCCTTTCCTTTCCTTTCCTTTCCTTTCCTTTCCTTTCCTTTCCTGTTTTCTAAAGTATAAATTCCCTCTTCTAGTTATAAACCTAGTTAGAGTATCAAGCCTCTACTAGTGTCAATTCTAGTTCTAAACATTTAGAGCCTCTACTATATGTTAACCTTCTAGTTATAGATCTAGTCAGAGTATTAAGTCTTTACTAGTATTAACTTTCTATAATCTAGTCAGAGTATTAAGCTCTTACTAGTGTTAAACTTCTAGAACCTAGTCTAAGTATTAAGCTCCTACTAGTGTCATTTTTAGTCTAGAATATTTAGAGTCTCTACTATGTATTAATTTCCTTTCTTTCTTATTATATTATGTTTAAAAGTATAAAGTCTCTTTCCTGTCCTGTCCTATCCTGTCCTATCCTGTCCCTCTTTATCCTTCTAGTGTAAACAGACTCTTTATTACCTCTACATACTCTGCCTCCTTCTTCTCCCTCTGAACTTGTAGATAATAAGATTAAATACAAAGTTAGAACTATTCTTGACTCTTGATTCTATAAGGGAAAGCTTCAGTTCCTTGTTAAATGGGTAGGATACTAGGAAGCAACTTGGTAGCCTGAAAATAACCTTACTTATACTTAGAATACTATTAGGGCTTTCTATAAAGTCTATCCTAGTACTTTAAGATGACTGAACATTCTAAAAGGAACCTTTAGAAACTTTAACACTTTACTTAAACAAAATAGTCTTTAAATTCAGTTGTCTAGGACATACAACCTAAGGAGAGAGGTAATATTAGGATTGTAGAATTAGACCTATTTTATACTTATTTTATTTTCTTCATATCTCTGTCAGTTTTGTAAAAAACCAACATTACTACTGGATTTTCATAATCCTTAACATCTTATCTATTGTACTACAAAGTTTTATAAAGATTGTCTTAGTATTGAGTGTAGGAGAGAGTTACAAAGACACAAGGTAGTATATACAATTATAATACAGTTAATCTATTTCTTACCTAATATAGTGTAAAGGCTAGAGCCTTACTCAAGAACACAGAACAGGTAAAGACCTAGAATTAGAGAGGTCAACCTAAGTACAGGAGTAAGTACAAAGATAATCTCTAAGTGTCTACAAATAGCCCTTTATATACTTAACTAAACTTATGTGTATAACCTTAGAGATTATACTCTTCCCTACTCTGAAGAAATAAAAGGAGGGGGTAGGGAAGTAATTAATAGAGAGGCAAAGGAAAGAATATAGTAAAGGGGGGGGGAGGTAAAATGGAAGATTATAGTAAGAGGGGAGGAGGGGAAATACAAAAGGGTAAGAACAGAAGATAAGGAACATACAGTTATAAGTTTAAGAAGGCTTTAACTTGTTAATGAAAACACACAGAGACAAGGACAGGGACAAGGAGTACACAATAGTTGAGACATGAAACTGTACTGCTAGGAACATATGAATAATACCTAACAGGTCTAGTAAGTAGTAAGTACAGTGTTGTTACAGATAAGAAGAAGACAACTAAGACATTAACTAAAACACATAGTTAAGACATTAAACAGTACTGTAAGGAACATGTGAATAATACCTAACAGGTCTAGTAAGTATAGTATTACTGTAGATAAGGAGAAGACAACTGAGAAGGTCTTGTTTAACTAATAGTAGGCTAGGTGTTAAAGGTAATAAGAGTTTTTTTAGTTGTGTGAGTAAAAGGAAGTGTAAAAGTTAGAGTGTATAATAAAGAGAACTTGACAACTCTTTAGTTATACTAGTACTTACTACTTAGGGGAGGAAAAAAATGATTGAAACACATAGTTAAGAAGTGAACAGCTATCTTTAAGTATGTATTAGTGCTAGGAGGAGTAAAAGGACTAGGTTGACAAAATTAATGTACTAATTCTGAGAGTAATAAGAGTACAAGTAGTGTGTAGGTAAAACAGAGTATGTAGAGGTAACAGAGAGTCTGTTCATACTAGAAGGACAAATAGGGACAGGACAGAACAGGAAAGGACTGAATAATACTAGTAGAGTATAATTCCTAACTAAGTTTATAACTAGGAATAACACTAGTAGAGACTTAATACTCTAGTAAGGTTTAGGACTGGAGGTAATACTAGTAGAGGCTCTAAATGTCTAGGACTAGGATTAACACTAGTAGGGGCTTAGTACTCTGACTAGGTTCACAACTAGAAAAGGGACTTTATACTCTAGGAAACAGAAGGTAACACTAGTAGAGGCTCTATATGTTTGAGACTAGAATTGACACTAGTAAGGGCTTAGTACTCTGACTAGGTCTATAACTAGAAAAGGGGCTTTATACTCTAGAAAACAGGAAGAGAAGGGAAAGGGACTTTATACTCTTAGTAGATAGTAGACAATAATAGTAGACACTAGACAGTAACAGAGTAAGAGATAGTATAGTAAGGAATAGACAGTCTTAACAAACACTTTAATAATAGAGAGATACACATTATAGTAGGTATAACAAGTATACAACAAATACACTATAGTTGATAGCTTAATTATAATGTTTGTTGTACTAAAAGTAGACAGTATCTGTTAGTGTAGAACCTGTAGCTTCTGAAGAGAATTATACTACAGTTCTAAATATTAGTAGTAGTATTAAGATAGTACTTCCTTACACAATTTCAGGACTAGGACAGTGAGTCCTTCTACAGCTTGTTTCTTAACAGTGTTCTAGTAGAGTAATTGTATAGTAGCTCCTAATCTTAGTAGTAGTACTAAGATAGTGTTCTCCTTAAACAATTTCAGGAATAGGATAGTAGGGGCTTCTATAGCTTGTTTCTAGACACTAGCTTAAGATTGTAACAAGTAGTAGAAAGGTTATAAGTAAGAGCAAGTCTGTAGATAATCTACTTAAAGTAGTATAGTAAAGTATATTCTTGAGTAGTAGAACCTTAATTATAGACAGCTGACCAGACTCACAATAACACACAACACACTCTACTCTGACACAACTATATACAATCTTTATAGTACATTCTCCCAGAAGCCTAGGACCTCTAATAAGGGTCTGTTGAGAGATTGAAGGTTAGCTAGCAAGTAGTAACAATCTCTCTATAAGCTTTTAAGAGAGAACAGAATATCTGTATAGTATTTGTAACACTT